TACCTATTCTGGACATCATGCTGCTACGAAGACACGATGGTTCGTTGCAAGGAAGCGTGTATCGGAATCCAACATAGGTAGGACAGTACACGCACTTATTCCGTTTTGTGGCGTTAAGGTATAAGAGAAACCTCTTCCATTGTGGCGCGAACATCTGCAGTCCAGAGACAATTGAAGCCGGAAAGGAATTCATTGTCAGAGTGCTGGTAAATAATGGATACCCTGCCGCATAGGTCAAGAAACATTCCACAATTCGACTTTGGCCTACCTTGAGAACGACTGTGAGAAAACAGGAGCATCTTCTTTCAGTTCCTTTTAAAGGCGATATTTCCTCTGGCCTGATGAATAGGAAATTACCAACTGCAGTGAACCAGACGTACCCAGCAGCTAGAGTTCACGTCCTTAGGGAGACTGCTCCGCTCATAACCCAACGCCTCAAGGACAAAATTCCGGTCTTGTCCGAATCGTATGTCCTATATCAGTTCATCTGCACCTGTAGTGCACGATAAATCGGACACACCACCAGACGACTGTCGAGGCGGGTAACTGAGTATTGCCCTGCCTCTCTACGGCACGGTACTGTTAAGGCAATCCAGAGCTTAATTTCAGGACACCTTGTGTACAGCGGACATCGTGTTCCAAACAAGGTGACTTCCAAGACGCTTTATATTTTGTCTAAACGGATCCCTAAGAGACTCAAAAAACATTTGTTGGCAAGTACGGAAGCCATCGCGATCAGAAGACTGAAGCCGAAGCTATGCAAGCAGAAGGCGCTGGTGCGAAATTTGATCTTGTCATGACCATAGACCAGTTGGCTAAATTCAGGCTAATTGATCTATGGCGCTATTCAAATTTTGTCACTGAATACTCCACCTCACCCAGCCGACCCGGCTAGATGGTGCTCAGCTAAAAATAGCTTATTATTCCAATATCATCTTGATTCATTATTGTATATGCCTAGAGAGACTTATTGAAGAGAAATTTCTTTCAACTATCTTTGGTTTTATACATTCTGCATCGTTTGTCGGTTGAAGCATCTAAGTGTGGGATGAGCTTCGCACCCATCGAAGTGTAAACTGCAGCTCCATGATTGGCCTACATCTGCTCTCTTGCTAAATCATGAATGTACACAACTTTAACAGGTAGATAGTTTCGTCTACCTTGAAAGCTGTGTTTCTGCTGAGGACACTATCAGCAAGGAAATTTCTCTTCGTATCGTTAAAGCCCGATCAGCATTTGCCTATCTGAGGTACTTGCGGTGTCGACGCGTCGTCTCAGTTTTGCTCAAAGGCTGTGTTTACAGCGCATCATTTCGTTCAGTATTTTTGTATGGGAGCTAGCCCTGGCCAATTGGCGTAGCAGACATGCGTCGTCTTTCTGCCTTCGACAACCGGTGCTTAAAGAGGATCGCCTGTGTTTGGTGACGACATCCAGTTCACAGTGATGGTCTTTCGACGTCTCGTCTTGGGGAATCAAAGTATTCCGTTCTACAAATTGATCTTACTGCGCCAGTTGAGATGGCTTGGTCGCGTCCTACGCATGGCGCGTGAGTGTCTACGGCGTCGCGCTGTATTCGCTCGTCAAATACCTGGTTGGAGGCGGCCGCGTGATGGTCAGCCTTCCACTTGGTGATAGCACATAAAATCGCTGACATTGCATCTAGCCGCCGTTAGACCCGTATGTCTCCAAGGAAGGGAACCGAAGGATGAGGAGTGCAAATAACTTAACACACTCGAAGATATATTCTGGAACCGGAACCGGTGGAAGTATTGTGTACATATGCATTGATTCACATGTGTAGTATTTCAAACGTTGAAAATGACACAAAAGAGAAAAATTCGCGTATAAAAAACAAAAAAGCTTTTCTTCTCTTTTTGTCCACGTGTTTCTTGCTTCTTGCGGCACAGTAGCTAAAGTGTGTTGCTCACCTTCATCTACTATGGCACGATGATTATAACGCTGTGACTGCCCCTTATCCGCTAATCTCCATGGTTTTTGTTGGCTTTATGTCTATTTACTAGATTGTTGAGATCATTACCACTATTAATATATAGTCAGCAGTGGTCATTCATTCGTTCCCTTATCACCGGAACTTAACTAGCTTGTCCCTACATTGCTCACCTATGTTTACATTGCAGCTACTATCAGTAGTTTCATTAGAAGCGTTAGTATAACACCGTAACTCTACGCAGCTCGCCACAGGACTCCTCGGTGCACAGATAAGTTAATGATCTGAACTGAGCTGTACTTTAGTTGAAACCCATGGTTCTTTCTACCAATATGCGCGTCAAAATAGTGCGGATTGCCTCAAAACCAATAGTATTCATCACTCTTATCTGCTCTCACTTCTGTCTTCTCACTCTTAGCTTCTTGAAATTGCCAAAGTATTTAGGGCCTGTAGATGGAGTACTGGATGGCGCAGCATAAGCCGCCCATGGTCACTCCGCAGCGGCAGGCATTCTCCGATCGTCGGTGGTCGCATTAACAGGCGGCCTAGAAAGCGGGTGCAGCTAATTGCTAATGTACGCTGGCTGGTGCGATGGATTTCACTATACTACCACGTACAATGCGAAATAGTTAATCACTATTCCTAATAATTTCTTTCGTCTTATTACTGATTTTTATGCCTTACTCTTGTATGTTGATTGCCATTCTGTGTAGTATAGCCATAACGATGGCACATTTCAGTGCATTGTAGATTTTTTGACAGACGCATATGGAAGTGCTGCACCATCATCGCGAATTTGAAAAGGTCAGTAAGACACTTGCAGTATATAAGGCTCGGTCCACTTCGTGGAAGCCATTTGAGCTACGAGGTGCATAAGTTTACCTTTACTAAAGACCATGTCTTAAATTTTTCACATTTGACGGTGGGTGGCATAAACATACACAAGCTGAGACTGAGACTAAGACAGCATTTAAGAGCAAGTAGAAAGGTTTCTGTACAACTCTAACGGATTATGAAAAAGCAAAAGTATTTAATTACGAGTCGTCAGTTAATCATTTATCCTTGTCGGTTAGGAATTCGAATTGGTGTCATTAGTTCCTGGTATAGGATGTATCTTTTCCATTTTATGTGCACCGTTTCACAAAAACACAAGCTTCCGAAATAATCGTCGATACGTGTTTTAAAACCCTTCATAGAATCGGCTTCTATTAATCCTTCTGGTAGTGTATTCCATAAGTTTACGATTCTTCGCTCTATACAAAGCTGATGTGATAGCTTGTTCATGCAGGGGACCCTGAGTTTGCAAAGGTGTCCTCGAGTGTTATAGGGTTCCCACAGGTGAAATATTGGCCTGAGTATGGGGAAGGGACTAAAGTGCAATATTCCATAGGTCATAATAAGTTCATTTCTTACTCGTATTAGCAGACATTTGACCTCCAAGATGAGTGTAGAGGCGGAGGGCTAGCTGAAACTAGTGGTTGCTCCATGCCGCTAGGCACGGTGTGGCCTCGTTGTGTTAAGGTCACGCTCTTCCAGTGTTACGAGGATGTTGCTAGAAAATTAACCTAAACACCAAGACAGTATTGGCAAGTGAATTTGAAGTACACGTTGTGTGGATGGATTGCGACGCGCAATCTCAAAGTAGACCAAGACAGTATCTTTGGCCTTGGACCCATTCTTGGTATGAAAATAGAAATATTTCCCTGCAGACCCAATAAAAGGTCTAATAAACCAATTTTGTGATAATGCAGTGATTTGGGCTTAACTACCATATTATGAGGTAGAAGATAAGATAGTTTAAATATGGGCAAGACACTAACACTGTTTAGTACCCGTATACGTTTCGGCGTTCATTGTTGTAGTTAAATGTAAAATGCATTTTCAATTGCCATAATGTTACCTTTTCCTTGTCCAAAAGAATAGTTGCTTATTTAAAATTGCTCTGCATAGTCACCGTCATCTACCAATGCTTAGCAGTGCTCACATATATCTCACCTGAGCAAATAAATTGTTAGGACAGACTTATCACAGCTAAACTCAATAGTTACGCTGCAACAAGACAGGAAAAGCATTTGAACCGGTTTTTATTCTTCTGGAATCATTTTCAATGCCCCGATCTGCTTCCTGTTTTAATCTCATTGATCCCCGGAGAGTAACGATAGGCAACGTGACCAATTAAGCAACTACAGTACTGACAGACCCTTCTCTAGCTCTCATATGTGTTAAAAACCCACCATTCTAGTCACACCAGCTGAAATCGTTCCTGATGGCTTGGTAGTATATTAGCTCTATAGAGTGTATACAAACACTGATGAATCCAGAGGCGCACAGTACTTGCCTAATCTGTGTGACGGCACGTCATTGCGATGAATCTATAAAATGTTTCGTTACCATCACAGAACAAAATTCAGAGAATTCGGGCCTGAGTACCATTGGGACCTAATGCACTTGCGTGCAGTAAAGATGCCAGCTTTTAAAGGGCCAACACTATGAAGAACAAATATACAGCTACACTTGTGCATGTATTAATAGCGACATGGTCAAGGTATCTTGTTTGTCTCCACAACAGCTTGGAAGCTGCGGAGGGAAGTTGTCACGATGGAAGAAGTTTTCCTTATTTTCACGGAACTGGAAACGTGGTCAGGTGTCGTCACTGAGCCATGGTTAAACTGGAACATAAATAGAAAGTATCCTGGTTCTAATATGCGTTGAGGTAACCAACCAGACAAACACTAGATTTAAGCTGTAACATGTCCCATCCGTGCCGTTCAAAGCCAAGAAAAGGACTGAGCCTGCCATTCGATCAATATTTCGATAAATCTTCTAGCTGGCCACTAAGGAGTTTTCACATGACAGTCGGTATCCGCTTTATTGCCGAGTCAAATCCCTTCTTCACTATCCTAGCCGGACAGTGCTGACTAGAGCTCACATGATTGCCGGAGGTTAGTGATGACAAAGAGCAATTTAATCAGCGACGGAAATTGCGGAAGATGTGGTTGTCATGTGCCAATTCCTAGGTTATGTTGTTTGTAGAAATATTAACTGTTGAAATCTAACTATTCGGAAAGGACTTATATTTGAGATGACATAGCCGGAGATAACTATTTCCTCGGACTGAATTGGTCTCTAGATTTTGGGCGAAATCAAAGTCAAGGAATCGACACTCACTGTCTATATCGTTGAGACCAGTGATCCCGTGTACCTCAGTTCGTAAAATCCCTGTTCTTCCAGATGAGTTCTGACCTAGGAAGGAAAAACGTTGTCAGCACCGCGGTCAATCGCTCGGTTTCACAACAAAATTATAGGTGACGAGCAGGTATGCACTTATTTTTAGTACTCTCTTTACTTCGTGGTTAAGGTGGAACAAGGCGCAAATGCATTACTGCTGGAATAGTAATAGAGGCGCAGGCTTCATAGCTCGCTGTATACAGGGTACAATATTCCAGACGACACCCAGATCAGTAAACACAGGATTCCTCTCGCACTTTCCAGATTGATTGTTAAAATATCAGGATCTACTGACGGCTTTCAAGACCAATGAGCTAATGGTTAATTACAAGTAAAAACCAAGTGCTGACGATTCTCGTAGAAAGATCTTAGTGAAAATCGCATGTGAAAAATAATGGTGGCAAACTAAGTACACTATGCATCTGGGAACTCACCATAATATTCATAAACGTAATGTTAGATCTACCAATCAGGGTTTTATGAGGCACTAACTGGCATGGCGTTTGTTTAAGGTTGTTCAGAATTTAATTATAGTTGACGAAACATAATTTGATTTTTTCTGAAGCCAAAACCCAACAACCATCAACGGAAGCAACTTCCGTTTCCAGTGCATAGATGACGATGTGTGTTTTAATTCGCTGTGCATCTAAACAAACCTCTCGATCTCGGAATACAATTCGACGTCGCTGCCCACAGCTTGCCCGAATTAACGCCTTTGTTATTGGACCACCATGACTAATATTCATACTTATAACTAGGCGGTTATACTCAGCTCTCAGCTAGATAACTTTCCATACATTTGCAAAGGCACCCGCCGGTCGCTTCGCCCTTTAAGACGAGTTAGGGTTACACATCCCCAAATACCACCTGGGCCGATCCTATGTCCATTCGAAATCTGAAGCTTATGCTACCGGCCACGAATGCCGGTGACAGACCACCAGGATTACAGTTAACTACGAACATGTGCAATGCTGTATGGCTAGAAGCCAACTGTAACGAATCATCCTACACTTACATCACTGTCCTCCACTCATAGGCAGAATGAATATTCGAGGTTGTGAAGTCTTCACAGTAGTATACGGTGATGTACGTCTTCAAGAGTTGCCCATTACGTTAACTCTTACCTGGACAAACTTCACGTATATTTGAAAGGGATCTAAAGTCGAACCCGTTTTATTGCCCGCCATCGGGATATTTCAAAGTGAGCTAGTAACCGATACTGCCATTTCACCAAAGGCAAAACAACCATTAAATTATTGTACAGTATATCACTTGAATTGTAACATGCTAAGCAGGATAATGTAAGTACTTGTAACTAACGCCGACAAAAGGCGTTTAATCAGAAGAACATGACCTATCATTTAAAAATATATCATAAAACATCTTAAGTGGATAGCTATAGAGACTGGCGCTACCGTATATTTTTACTAAGAAAGCAATCCAAAAACAGTTGTACACAATTTTGAGCTGTTATATCAGTCACTTTTGAACTGATGACGTCCAAGTTGGACAAGAAATGGCTGCATACCCCACGCAAAAGTCCTTAGGCACACAGAACATTCACACACTTTGTGTTCATGAATGCGACGTGCGTTGGTTGCTGCGGGAGCCATCCGGCACTTCATCCCCTGAGTCGCTGCGTTCTTTCTGTTCTAATCAGTTCTCTAAAATGTTACTGGCGATTTCATATTCAACAGTTGTCAGACCTGAGGTACATTTCATCTAGTTTTCAATGGCGAAGAACTCTTCTGCATTTATGACTGGGACTGTGCGATGACGGCGTCATCAGAAAGTGCATCGAATGTCAGCCGACTGAAGCCAGCATGCCGACCGCAAGCCTTTATTGTTGCACCATTCACTTGTCTTCAACTTTTTGCAACGAACTGAATTGCATCGAGCACAGAAATCTTAACGCCGACATCCACCACCTACGACGAGCTAGCTAACACGTGTCCGACTTGGTAAAGAATTCGATCGACAAGTTCCTTTCTGTAACGGATTTTCAAATTCATAAGCACAACTTGGTCCATGGGTTGAAGAACGCTGGTCGTGTTTTCCGGGGAAAAATTCAATTTGAATCTTCTTCAGGTCATCTACCTGTGGATGGGCTGTGTAATTATTCAAGAACAACATAATTTTTCAGCCACTTTGGCCTAGGTTATTGTCCCATTCAAGGACTCACTCGGTTAAAAAGTTCTTTCGTTATCTACGTACTTTTTAGCCCTGTAAGAGTAGTGTGCCTAGGTTCACGCTATTAAAACGTGTTGCTTTCTTACCTTTACCAACCATAACCAGTTTTCTTTTTTCCGTGACTGACATATTCTTGCAGCACTGGTGAGTGATTCTATCCAGGGCTTTTTCCGATCCGATGAGCTTCTCGGCAGAAAAACACAAAGAGCCCGCTGGAGTTGCACGGTAAAAAGACCTGCTTCGTTTGCATTGTACACGTTGTTATCATCAAATGCATTTGCAAGTTCAGGCAGTCGATCTGTCAGCAAATTTTTCACAGAATGCTCCGTCCGCGGTACTCATTGCGCCGAGCACACGTTTATACACAATTTGATTACTATTTTTTCCTTTCTGCAACCATCATTCTGTGGCAGCAGACATTTTCTAATTCATTCCCCGAATTTTTTGCCTTTTGCTTCAAAACCGGTCCTTAACGTTTTGTTTGCGCTCACGAACCCATATCATCCACTTTCATTGCGGTTTCCACTTCTTCATATTTTCCATATCGCTTAGTTTACTAAGAGCTTGCAGGTCCTTGCGACAAATTCTGACGACGTTCCTTTTCGCTGGCAATCAACCTGGCTAGGGCACGACGAGAAATGTATGAATCACGTGAAAATCTGTCTGTCAAGGACAAATGCTTTCTATTACTAGCCATACTTGTGTGCAACTAATGGAGTGTTGACAGATGTGGAGCAGAAAGTTTACCCGACTTTGCTAACTTCTCGAGTTTTGAATAGGGCCAAGGGTCTACCCACAGCTGTCCGTAAATTTAGCTTACTCCAGTATTGAATGATGCAAACAACCTTTTCTTATCGGTCAATAACACCGCGGATATCTCTGATGATTTTGACTCGATCCGACTGGCTAGCTGTGGGGTAATCGCAATAAAAAATAATCAGCGTGAGGGTGTAACATTGACAAAGTGACAAAAACAGCCCACGAAACTGGGCAATTAAGTGTTGGGACGACGCCGGCAATGGGCAATTACATGAGGAACATTTAACATAAGTATAAGAAATGAATTTGTACTTAGAAAAACTGGGCAATAAAGCCAGGTGGGTTATAAACCGGGTGGGCAATAAAGCGAGCTCGACTCTTTATGAAAAGCAGCAGTACTACTAATTGCAATAATCAAACCAGTGTAGTATCCGTTTCCAGATTTATGTATCCCCATGACCATCAATAATTGGGGCACTAACACATAAATAGGAATCGACAATTGTTTTCCCCTAGTCAATAACCATTTCATTATTATAATTCGCTTGATGATAAATCAGTGAGAATTGTGTCAGCACTCATGTGAATGAAACCATGAGGCAATCGAAGAAACTGCCACAAAGTAAAATAATGAATAATTGTGTGAGCAACCGAGAATAATGACTGCGACGAACGTACTCAGTGGTGATGAACAAACCGATTCAGCTAGGCGAATCATGTAACCAGTATAAGTGGAACCGATAAGACTATAACTGGTACACAACTTTGCTAGTTGGCCAGCAACCTATGACTGTGAAACGGTGCGCTTCTCAACATCTCTTTGAATGAATCAAACTCGATCACGTCATTGAAAGTAGGAAGACGGTTAATGCTTTTCAAAAATTCGCATCGGCATCTGTACTAGTTGACATGTATCACTTTGGAACGTATTGAGAATACTTGTAGCTCGAGATGTGGATGAGAGGGTTGATGTGTTCTCCTGACTGGGCAATTTTGTCACAGACTTTTATTGCCAAGCTATGCAACATCCTCAGCGCGGCTATTACGGTCTGATTCGCACAGCCTCGTAAGCCACTGCGAGATCCGACTGAATATTGATCGACTCCTGTTTCGAATGTCATTTGACATTCATTTGACACAGTTGATACTGTTACGTAAAGATAAGCTTCTTTTGTTCTAGCCGTTCACTTAGCTGTTGCACTGTGCACCCCGCAGGGGCCCAGTACCATGACCAATTAGAATTAAGATAGCGCTGGAAATTGACGACATGAAAAATGGATCAACAGACTAGCTGATAAATAATTAGCACAAATGACTTACCCATGAGTAGTGCCAGCCCGGTTTTGTTGAATCTTATGAGCTAGATCAATGAAAATAACCTTTATTTTATATAGTGCCTTCATAGCAAACGTTGGATTATTTGCTTAAAAACGTACTAAAGTGCACGACTCAGTTATCATGCTTCTCGTACATACACATGTATGTTAAAAAACACCACATTATATTACTTCACAGTAACCCATGTTTTGACTGAAAAGTGTCACAGAAGCCTTTAGGTTAGCTTCATCCCGCAGTACTTTATAATGGATACCTTCCTAGATTAAGCAATATTGAATGCAAGTCAGATAACTGAACCTCCGGTCACAAGTATTGGCGTACAAATCGCTCAGCCTGAGACATAATGTCAGCATTAACGACCTACTACGCTTCCCATTATTGATACGGAACACCTACAAGCAACTGTGTGTCATGTTATAAGATTTGTTTCATTAAGCAGTAACTAGTAAGACACCCTGGTTTCGGTCAGAACTGAAGTTCTTAGGTACAGTCAAGAAAATTGCAATATGGCCGTCCTCAAAAATGCGCTCATCCAGCTATCTAACTTCACTTGGAAGTGAGAAAGCGCTTAACATCGGCAAATCGACTAACGGTTCAAACTGACACCAAGAAGACTTGATGGAAGACCGCGACCATCTGCTATACGTCATATATGCTTGGAGGCATCCGGTTCCGGTTTTGTCTTTCATTGCGTTCTCCATAGGACAGCCACAGGACCATAAGGGTTTTGCACTGCACCACCCACAGCTCCATCCACGCACCCCATATCCAGTGTAAACCCGAAGGAATAAGGCCGAGAAGCACGTGGATGTAATCCAGGTTACATCAACGGAGCCGGTCCACACGACTTCAACATACACAACGGCAGCATCCCTGTTTATCTAAATTGGGAACCACGCGTACCAGACTTACACAAATCGGTGGCTAAGCTTCATTCCGCTCCATACTGCATGGAACCACTCGTTGCGCCAATTACGGCCACAAAGACTGTACAACCCGTCCTTCCGTAACCATTCACAGTCTCCTGGAGGCAGCAGTCGAGTCCAGAAGTGTTAGACAGGTAGACACCTTGTAGACATTCACATCAAGCACAGCCACACCATAAATATCAAATAACCAACACGGATTGCTAAGGAAAATAAATGCGCTAAAATGACACGGAATATTCAGCGGGATAATGCGCTGTGAGTACTACGCAATAACTCCACTTTCTGGTGGGTTAAATTTTTGGGACCTTTAAGTGAAGACATCGTGGAAAAAGTGTTTGAATAAACAATTTTGACAGAATTTGACTGTTGTCAAACTTTTTCCTCGGAAAATGACATCCAATTGTGTGGACTGTGCGGAAGGTGTCACCTCTCGGTCAAAGGCTGTCCAGTGTGCCCTCTGCGAGAGATGAACTCACGTAGGCTGCTGTAACATTGCCCTTGCTCTCTACCAATGTCTTCAGCACAATACCTCCAAAGGCATAAATGTGCACTGTAATATATGTTTGCAGTAATTAGCGATAAAAAGTTGCTGACGAGCCTACGCTCCTTCAGCTTGCCTACTACTCCTACACAAGCTCTGCCTAACTCTGACTGCGAAACACCATTTGCGTATGTGTGCTTTCCTAGATCTGGTTACTCTACGCCCAAAGGGAAAAGAAGCTCTGTCTCCTCCACCAGACTGGCAGGAACACCGCTGCCAGTCGGACCTGGAAATCCAGCAATAAATCGAAGCCGAATCTCCTCCACTTCCTCAGAGGGCACAATACTGACGCAAGGTAGTGCCTGCAAAGACCAATTGGGCACAACTAAGCAAAAAATAAAGAGGAGGACCTATGCGGTTGTGGCGAGCACAAAGGCTGCAGAAATATCCTAGATAAAGACGTACGCCTCCGTAGTAAAACAGTGTGTGACATCAACGACTGTCACCTCAAGCACAGCCGCTCGCAAGATAGAAATAATGTGGGTAACAAAGCGTAAGATCCAGAAGGACTCTTCACGCCCCCGGGTGAAACACGTCCTGGACAGAATGTGCGACCTAGAGAACCTGATCAACACAACCCCGCAACTCACAACGCCGGCTGTTCCCAAGAGAAGCAGTTCATCTGTCAGTGAACAATGTCCCGTTATCGTCAACATTATGGAATTAGACACGCCAACTCCAGCAGAGAGAATACTGGACGACAAAGATTCCTTAGAGCGTATGGTCTCTCTAATTTTCGACGATGGGATCACTATTATCTCCGCCTTTCGACTGGGCAGAAAGCAGGACGAGACCACTAAAAGTCGCCCACTTACAATAGCCTGCCAAGATGAAGCCGGATGGAGCTGCATTCTTCAACGGACATCAAGCCTCAAGTGACATCTTCTTTGTCTTGAGAGACCTTTGTCCAGTGGACAGCCTCAAAATGAAACTGGCCGCTGATGAACTGTGAACCCGAAATGCTAACGGTGAAATCAACCTGCACATCGTGGATTTTAGCATAGTGGAGAGAAATCAGAGAGCTCGCTGGGGACCAATCCTAGTCCTGCCCTGGTCATAAGATTGATGACAACACTTGGACTGCAGGTGATGTCCGACAGCGTCCGGAGCATCAGGAACAAATTGCACCAAACCCTCTGTACCACCTCGGAGCTATGCCCAGACATGTTTGCTTTTACAGAGAAAAGGATGTTATCGGAAGTACCGGATGGAGAGACATACATCCCAGGATAGCAGCTCTGACAGATGGATCGCAATGGGGCGAGAAGCGGGGGTGGTGTAATACTGCATTGGAGATCTGAACTCAGGGTGCATACCGTTGAAACTATTAGTGACGACGGTATAGAAATGCTCTGGTGTCGGATCCATGACGAATGAAAACCCTTTACCATCAGGGTGGTGTACAAGGCCCCGTTGTGTAACTGCAATCGCGTTTTGGATTCACTCAAAATATATGGGTGCGTCAGGGACTGGCTAACATTGGGTGACATTAATGTGCCTAGTATTGACTGGATCTTCCTCACTGCGGACTATTCGCAGAGTCATTTGATGCTGGTATTCTTGGAGCAGTGTATAATGCCAACCTATCTCAGATAATCTCCACGCCCACCAGAATACTCCAAGGCCAGACATCACACCTTCTTGGTTTGTTGCTCTCAGCTGTACTTTCTGACATCACTGGATTGGTCATACTACCACCGATTGATCATAGTGATCACTATACGCTGCAGTTCACTTGAATGCGACGATTTGTCACTCAAGATCAAAAGGTCTATAACCGAAACTTTTGGTGTACCAATCCTACCTGCTCAAGAGAGGCGGCCAGCATGTTGGAATGGAATATCCTACAAAATCTTGACCTCGATATTGCTTGACTACTTTTGCACTCCAAAATGAACCAGCTGATTGAATAAGTGGTCGCAAACTCAATAATAAAGCCCCAGACGAGAGCTCCTCCTTGGATTGGTCGGGAAATACAGATTCTAATGAATTGAGGGAAGCAACTATGGCACCCTTTCAAATCTACTGAAGTGGCTTCGGACTATTCAGGAACTTGTGTACTACGAAAAAGCGAGTAAAGAGTCAACAATATGAGCAGAGTCTGACAGAACAGTCTGCGCTTCTATGAAAAAGGATCAAGCTCGGCTGTGGTGTAGCCGCTTTGTCATCCAACACAAATGATTCTGTTCTACACGAAGACGGCGAGAAAGCAGATCTTCTGGTCCGGCACTACGCATCCGTTTACGCCCTGGAAGACTCACAGTTCAACAATCTCGATGCTTGGGATCTCAGCATTCTTGAGGACATCGAATTCAACGCGGAAACACTTGCAAAAACGTTGCTCGAGCTAGATCCTAACTCGTTACCTGGCTCTGCCGGGTTGCATCCCGTCTTTCTCAAGACAGTGACAGATTACATTGCCACACCTACCTGCCAGGTTTTTCAGCTATCTTTAGAAGCTGGGCGTCTGTTCGCCGACTGAAAACTGGAAATAAGGATGCCAAAGGACAAAGGTGGAAATCCTCGTGACCCCGCGAACTATCGCCCAATCTGTCTGATATCAATAATTTACAAGATCATGGAGAAGATTAGCAAACGCCCACTGCAGAAGCACTGTTCTGACCTGGACATTACCATCACTACATGGCACGGCTTACAAGAGGGACGTTCCTACACTACCAACCTGCTAGTGACGAGGGAAAAGTGGGCAAGCTCAATAGATACCGGAAAACGCCTATATGTTGCATTTGTTGACTTCAGAAAGGCGTTTGATAAGGTCCCACATCAGCACTTTCTGTACAAGCTTCGGGAAATTGGTGTCATTGGGCGCCTTTACTTCTGGATCGCCGAGTTCTCGGGAGACAGAACTATGCAGGTGCCAGTGAAGGAAACTTTTTCTCAGCCAGTGTTAATGAGCAGCGGGGTTCCGCAAAGATCTGTCCTTAGAGCTGAACTTTTCAAGCTGTTCATCAACCACCTTCCCGTAATGCTTCAAACTGAATGTCTGATTTACGCTGATGATTTAAGGTTTGGTTGGTAGGCGCGGACGTCCATACTGCTAATAAACTACAGGTCAAGCTGGATCTGCTACACGACAGGTCAACCAAGTCTACTCTACCTATTAACTACGCCACATGTTTTGTCCTCCCGAGTGGTGCGTCTGATCTACTTGGCACCTACCATATTGGGGGTATTCTCCTCAAGAATGCCGCCCGGGAGAAAGACCTAAGTTTATTAATTACATCGGACCTAAAGACCACTCAAAACACATTAAGGAGAGTGGCAGCTGCTAACAGGACGTGAGGTGCCATAAGGACATTATTCTCTTGGATGACACCTAAGATCTTCAGGCTACTATTCACCTCTCATGTACGACCTAGTATTAAATACGATTTACGGTCTACCTTTCCACGTCCAAAGCTATAATACACGTTAACAGAAAGTATCCAGAAACGTGGCTCAAAGTTTGTCTTCAAACTTCGGGATTTCCCTTACTTTCTTCGACTTCAAGCGATGAACCACTTCTCACTAGACTACCGTCGCCGCCGTGGAGTCCTCATCTTCACCATGCACAAACTAAGAAGGGAACTGGGAAATGAACTGCGACAGTTTCTCCAACGCAACTTGGGAGACCCAACACGAGGTCACACTTGGAAAGCGTTTTAAACGAGGATGCGCCGAGTTCTCTCCGCCGTCCCCCTTTCTATTCGGGTGGTAAACAACTGGAATCGACTTCCAGAAACCGTAGTCAGCGAACAGACTGAGAAAAGTTGCAAGCGGTTTTTAAATTGACATCTGTGCAAGATGTCTGGACAGCAGTGTTCCTCTGTGCCTCTGCTGGTCACTTGTGAACTGTTGGGTGGCTAAGGCATACCTGCTTCCCGTGCTGATCTGGAGGCGACGAGGCTAACATGGGACTTCCCTTCTTCCTTCCACAACTCATTCAGCGCAATGAACAATGGACTCAATAACAGAACTCAGCAAAGCAAATAAGGAGGAATACTTTTGACGAGGTTAACGAGGTCTAGTCTAAGTGTAAGTCGGTGTAGTATGATGTTTGCCACATCAAACAGCATGAGGCACTTGTCTTACATATATATATATATATATATATATATATATATAGGCAAGACCAGTACCTTTCGACCTTTACATTCACAAATTAGTCAGCTAAAGGTCTTTTCATGCAATGCACTAGGGAACTGATCGTTTCAGCTGCACCTATCAGAATACATAAGGCAGGGACACGGAGGCGAGAACAAAAATTCCACAACACAGGTGCCATGACGTAATTAACGGAGCAAATGTTCAAGGATGGTTTATCAAGGCTGTGTGTTGTGTATTGCTCAAAATGGACTTTGTAACACAGTATAAGCTGATTCATGCAGAACATAAACCAAGTAACAATTAAGTACATCTTACATGTTGATATTTACAAAGTATCTTGTCCATATCACTGGAGTTAATTCGTGGGCAGGTTTGCTCTATCCCCATGCGCGACCTGGTCTCAAAAGCACCGTCGGAGCTACTTATGGTGGCAGCCTTTAACAAAACGGTATTTTTGGTGGGGGGACCACTTCGTGTGCCCCCAGCACTTTGGATTGCCTTCTCGAGAGCTGTCCGCCAGTGATTTCTTTCACGTTCGGTCACTAGAAGGATAAGATGTCGCTGATTCTGAAATTCTGATATTGGGATTATCAACTGAGGAGTCTGTATAACGAGCTGGCCTTCCTGGAAAGTATAAAATGTGTACAAGCATCGTTTGCATACATTTATTTTGGGTATGGATACAGAAAATCCAGATCTGCTTCACATACAAACGTGAACATAACCTTCTAATGTTGTATCCGAATTTAGGTGCTTACCACAACATTTACAATTCGGTCACAAGCTTACGGACAACAAATCAATATCTAAAATCATCTTCATGAAGAAAATAGTCGAAATGGATCACATCTATCAGAAATGAATGACTTGTACGCCTCCGTGAAATTCGCCATTGATGTTTAGTATTTCATAACACACTACAGGAGTTACACTGTATACCAACTACATCCGTCCCCGTATCTGCCGTAGCGCGTTAATCTGTGTTGTAGAAAATTTCGATTTCCAGAGTACAATTTATAACCCAACTCACGGTTGCTTTTCCTTATCCGACATTTTCCACACTTCCTCACTCATGCGACACACAAGAGACTTTGCTTACAAATTTGCGGTGTGTTGGCCTATTCGTTTTAGTAGAGGTTGCAGGAACTTCGAAATGCGGTTAAGAATCCCTTAAAATCAGAGTCTATTTTAAATTTGTTGGTGAACTTCGCATTCGATAGTACTGTTCAGAATCGTGAAGGCTTGTGGCGGCGTTGTTCACTACTAACGGCATGACACAGGTAAATTGCCACTTTCCTATCAGAATCTCTACCACCCCGTTGGTCCTCATATGGTGTACATGTGAACTGCATACTTGGTAGATTTTCTAAGAAACGTTTAGTTGAACGTTGTGGCCTGCATCTAACACCCGTGATATGTCTGACGACGCAGACGCGTTTGAGCTACAGGGACAACAAAGATTCCAGTTTCTAAATACCCCTGCGACCGACAATCACAGCCCACTCCTATGCAATGATGATTAGCCAACAGGTGGACTTTTGTATAAGCGTTTTTCATTGATCATGGTTGATGTGACCCTGAAGAAGTTAAGATACATCATGCCCGTGGTAAAACGGCCCTCGTTACCCGATTGGATGTAAGTTAGACAAACCACCCGGGATAATAGAACCTGAGGTCAACCAAGTCTGCATGTTGAATTAGTTTTCATTGCGCTTGGATTGCACAGAAGGGTTCAAAGATGCTCACTGACATTTTCTTGTTGGGAGTGCAAAATAATGTAGCACACGCAAAGCTTATAGATAATTAACCAATCTGTGTTTAGCATTCTAACTAATCGGGCACACGAGTTTTTCCATTTTTCCTAAGGGTATAGCAGTCAGAAGCGAAACTTTCATGGATATTTTCAAGTTCACAATCTGATTTAGGACTACCATGAGTGCTGGAAGCTTGTAAGATTTTCACTCATTTCAAAGGTACTCGAAATTTTTAAATCCTGTTGATCGCAACTTACACAGTCGCTAATTGGTAAAGTTGTAGATTCCTCCTCGAACAATGTGTTGTTTCATTGTTCGTCGCATTGGTTAATACTATCTGAAGGTGCTTGCTTACCCAATCTCCTAATCTGAAACTGTACCTGCTCACTTCACCAAATGGAGTCGCCAAGGTAGACCTGAGAACAAAGACCTTCTAGATTAACTAGCTCAAGTCTGATCAACGTCAGATTAAAATCGGCCAGAATTAAGTCGGTTTAACAGTTCGCCAAAGCGATTGGGATTTCGGACTACTCACATTGCTGAAGTAGCCAGCTCTCGTGCAAATCAAACCAAATGCAATCAAGACAGTTAACACTAGATGGCAGTATTTTATGGTATCTGAACGCTTTCAAGGTTAAGACAGCGTTTGGGCTCACGTGAGTGAGTAAACAATTAGAAGTTGCACATTCCTCATACAGGAAGGGAAGAGCTACCGCGTGCAACAAGGGCTTTATGAGCTGGATACAGGATTTGGGAGACGGCAAGGTTGAAGTTTGGAGAGTACACAGATCCGATTGCTCCCAATGAACGGGACCGTTTGGAAAATTCCGCTTATTATGGCGTATGAGCGACGAGTGTAGTCAGTGCGATGACTCTACTCGAGTACGTATCCAATAAATTAAAAGATTAGTAGTTATTATACCAAATCCGTACTGATGGTTACTACGCCATTGTGGTGACTTTCCTTGGAACATGTGCTTCTAATCAGTATGCAGAAATGTTAATTTAGCCATCTCGGTTATATTTCGGGCAGTATGAAACCTATTCTTTCCAGTTATTTTAGGCAACTAGTATTGTTTTTCTGACCGCTTTAGCAGGTGAGAAGATTTGTCTCTTAAGATAAGTTTTCCCTAGTTCTCAAAATTTGTTTTTCACTCCATTCTAATATTCGTCTGTTTGACTTTTACTTACTGGGTTGCAAATAGGTCTACACTATCAACGGAAACGGTTTCATGTACACCACTGTATTTAAATCCTCGCGGATAAAGTGCTACTTTGGAACGTCAATACCACTCTCATGAATGAACACATACAAAACACAATAGGATCAACTGCGCCCATAGACCGAATGATTGCAAACAATATTCAGCCAAGATGGCATATGCAATTTCAGTAGAACTGTTAGGATACCAGGACTGTTTGCACTATTAAACGCCTTCCAGCTCGTTCTACGCCAGAGCCAATTACTCTAAGTCACAAATGTTGCTAGACATGTAACGCACTTACGTTACTCGTGGGGGGCCGAACCATGGGAAAACAGACTTGAAATGCAGTAAAACCTTCGTAAAATGACCACTCCAGTGGCTGGACCAAAGTGGTCAACATAGTGAGGTCTAGATGCATAAGGTTTAAATGGTGAACGTACAATCAATAAAAAATATACTGGTCAACTTAGAAAGGTAGTTAGAATATATAGGTGATCAACTTCGGTCTCTTTTTTGTAGGTTTATTTAGTTGATAATTCCAGTTTCGGAAAGTGCTCATTTCTAAGTGCCTCAGATGAGCTATGCTGCGTCCCCTACAAGAAAAGTTCGGTTTCATAAAGAGGACAAAGGGTATGCGCACTACTGAAGAGTCCCGCTAGGACGAATCGGCAGTCTGGTGTTATTCCTAATTGGTAGTTGATCTATCTGGCTCGTAGTCTACTTGCGATGAACTAGATGAAACCAAAGTTGTTACCTAGCTGAGTAGACTTTGTAATAGTGCATACAACATCCTATCATGGACGGGTCAAAGGTCGGCAGTAATTAACTGTGACTGTTTTTGGCAGACATTTCAGTGTTCTCTAACTCTGATAATTAAATTCGCTTTCACAATTAGTTTGATGCAAATACATTTTGAGGCTTAGCAAGAATAAATAAAGTGATCTAGAAATAAAACATTGACCTCACCAATTTGCTCAAAGCCGCCTTTGTACGCCTCAGACGAACCTTGTCTTCCTCCTTTAGAAAAGCATAGATCACCATAACATACTGATTACTTGAGCAGGAAATAAAGCGAAAAGATCTGTCACATTTAATCGTGCAAGAGCATTATACAATCAAAATGACGCAGTAAAAAGACGATGCGCTGCATACGTCTTCCAAGTTCGTAGCAAGTGCCGATAAAGCCGTGGGCATGTAAAATTGTGCTTCACTGGAAACTAGTATAAAAATTGTAGACCCAATACAGTTGAAGAAGGTGCAGAGAACTCAAATGCAAATTTTAAACAGTAGTATCTTGCTGTTGATAACTATAAAACGCACAGCGTATCGGTATTCCGGCGGTAGGTTGGTTATCGTTTTGGTCGTGAGCAACGTTCTCAATTCGTTTAAAGTTAAACCCACTCAGCCCTTCCAGGAGAATGTTGTTATTGAATAGCCGTTGATACTGACCACTCTTAATAAATTTGAGTGCGAACGGTCGATACTACTACTTTGTAGTCCAGTGTTCACTCGTCGAAATGCGAAGGCATAAAATTTGGAGAAACATCTAGTTGGTTATATAGTGACCAGCAGATACAAAACTAACAGAACAGTTGCGATTTGCTGTTTTCTACTATCGATCGATGGAGGCTAGATTTAAGGAATTTCGCTACAGGTTTTTATACCTCCTGTCGCTTCCCAGTGCCCTGTCTCGAGTTAATTTCCTCAGGTTTTCCTTTGTGGATTAGGTACTTGTCTCTATACTGTTACCTACATATGCTCAGTTGCATATTATTCATCGGTTGCATGAAACTTAGTGTCCGGTTCTCTACCCACCGACATTTCATCACCACAACTCACCTGGACTATGAAGAAACTGCAGTAACTACTATATGGATAGAATGCACCTATCTTTCAGAGAGAGATGCATTCTAACCCTCAGTGCTGAGGAGAAAACATGATGCACAAAGAGCCAGAAGGTATGATAGGAACAATATTTTGGCTTCAAAAATAATAGCGACCTAAATGAATTTACTCCTTTCAATTTTTCTTTTGATTCCCGCAGACCAGAAATCAGTTCCTTCAGCCGCTCAATTTTTTTCTCTTGCTCCGCTTCTCTTTGCTGATCTGTTGACAAAGTGAAATGGAGTATGAGTGATAAACTTCACCATTGGAAGCGGAGCAAAGCAATTAGGTGCATTAACGCCATGGCCAGCTTGTTTGTTTAGGAGTTATCGAGTCAGTTCAATCGATTTGACTACATTACAGATCGCTGTGCAACTTCAGGCTATTGATGCTGTCCATTCAACACTGACAACGCTGTGTTATCTTTTCTGCATCTGAGTAATTCCAAGGGGGAGTTCTGTTAGGACCATAACACATTAGCTTGGAGTGGGCTGGAGCTGCTTCCGAATTATGACTTCTGTGGCCATTTCACCGAACTTTCCGTTGGTTACAAGATACTAAAACAAACTGTTTAGAAAAGTAAAAGCAATTAGGCTATACAAGAACATCGTTCCCTAATGTGCGGACAAAACAGTACATAATGCTATGGGGTTTGTACTGAATTCCCAAGCATACTGGTCCCGATGTTTTGCCGGATGGATCAAGGGTTTCAGTGCCCAACTGCTCTGTTGATCACAAGCCATTGGTGTCCCCATGATCCTTTCAACTCTCAGTGAGTTTGGATAAAGCTTGTAGATTCTATGCATGATGTAATCACGACCGTGTGAAACGCTGCGCGCGGTTGAAAGCCGCATTGGCAATACCCGTAAAGGCAAACGGTGACCCGCTGCTGCGTTTAAGTAATACAACCCATTAACACAACCTTGGTTCAAACAAAGCAGCTGTGAATCCGCAGTTGTATAGCACTGGTAAACGGGCTTACTAGTAAGCTCAAAACTTCGCGTTTGTGATGCAAGCTTGTTATCTCAACTCGTAGGGAGCAAAAGGTCACCGAGGCTATCATGGAGTGTATCGTTCAGAGAGAGCAACTACTTGTGTTTCCCCACAAGAAGTGTTTGTTTTTTAAGTCTATTTTAGTTCTGAAACACTGGACAACGTTCCATACCGTTTACTGCCTCATTTGAACAATTAAAGTAATGGCTAAATGCACTCGGTAGCAGTCACTAGTGCAGCGTTGCCTAATCAACATCCTAGTATTTCTGCGTAAAACCAACTATGTGACGCATTTCTTAAATATCATCACTAACCCGTTCCGACTCTCATGTTCGAATGTAAAGTCAATGATTCAATCGGTATTATCCATTTTGTCTCTAGTCGAACCGTTTGCTCTTGTGATGAACACTTCGCGGTGGGCTGTTCCGGTTGCATCATCTGTCCACGAGTTTGATTCCGATGCCTTGTGCTTTCCCGGACTCCACGAAACATACCACCCAGTCCCGTTCTGTGTCTCGGAATGACAAAGGCAAAGAACAATCCGCTTATTTATACTACAAGCAATGTGGCTGATGAAAGCAGAAGGCTTGGGAGCAACAGAGTGGTAAGTTTCTCATTATAGTTGGTTTTTAAATGCCTCAGTCAATGACTAAGTGGTTAGATGCATGCTAATAAAATAAAGAAAAAAAACAACGCACTTCAAGACGATGGAACTCCAAAATGCCTGACACGATACTTCCCGTGCTCCAGTACAGAACGTACACTGAATGGAATGCAGTTGCAGCATGGTACAAAGGGTGCATATAACGTCCTAGCAACTGATATATTCGTTTCGTCAAAACATAGCTTTTAGGAATTCCTATCGTGAGTATTGTCCAACTGACAAGGCGCATTTCAGGGTCAAAATACCACCTATCTGAATGGCAGTCAGTAGTGTTCTTGGGAGTACAAACATTTTTGCTTCCCCCCTGCGAGACGAGGTATTGAGTGTCTTCCTGTCAATAATCCGTTCTTGTTTTGCAAGCAGAATAAGGATACTCATCGCTTTCATTCCTGTAGCAGCGATAATGATCGCATCCCAGTAAATTTATTCAGAAGTAGACAAAGTAAATGGTAAGTCCAGTCTTTCAGTGAGATTTAAGAACAATTGCTTCTCTGGGCTATTCCTCCACTCATGCAAACCCAGTACATTGGAACTAGTTGCCTTTTCTATACTAGTTGGGGTACTTACTTATCACTTTCGTCAGGTAGTCACCATTCTGTCTGATGTTATTATTGTGGTCGCCAGCTCATTATTCGCTCGACACAGTCTTTATTCACGCCTTCATATAATCACCCAGATGGCTATACTTCACTGTTGGATTGCTCTGCAGTGAAGAGTACAGCTACACCAAGATAAGATTTTACTGATTTATGTGCAGTACTGATCCATAAGAATGTACAGTATTTCTGTAGGAGATGAAGTACAAAGCCAACGTGATCTTTCTAGGCTCAAACAGAGCTTGCAGCACAGAATGGACTGCTGGCAGCGACTGACACACATCTGGCCCACATGTTTACCCAGTTGTACTTCAGCACACGATAGTAAAATGGTTAAAAGGGGCTTTGAATCAACTGTGGGTGCTCGTTTTAGACTTCATCCTTTATGGAAATGGGACTGTGATGGACTTAGCCTCATTGTTTCGCTAGCGCTCTGTAGTAAAGGCGTCAAGTAGGTTTTCGCATCCACCTTATGCGAAGCTAAAATCGAAACCCACTAAGTTTATGTGCACAGTGATGTTATCTCTTAAGGTAGAAGGAATGCGTAATCCCGACGAGTCTTGAAACGGGGTATCTACTGTCCACCTTTGGTCTACTGCAGTTTATATGACAACGAGGTTAGACCTTAATGTGGCGAGGCAGTTAGCCTGTCTGTCGATCAGGGGAGTTGCTCTGAGTGGTGTTTCCTACACATTCAGTCACTGATGCCAGATGGATCAGTGATAAGAGAAAAGACAAACTAAGTCTGCCCGTACTCTACGCTTACAACTGAAATGAGGGTGTCTTGGTTCACTGAAATGGAATCGCCTTATTCCACCGACAAACTCCCGCTGTTTTGCAATGGGGTTTTAGAACGAAAGAATTAAGGTAATAGATATAATTGTTCATCCGTTCAGACCTGTGCAGCTCGACAACAACCTACCTATTTAATACAATGGTAAATTATTTCAATCCCATGCTCGTCGAAGTAGATAACTAAGAGCACACCATATACTACATCGAGTGGGGCTAAGTGGAGTTAGGATGCTAATGCTCAGACATTCCCACTCCTTATTTCCACGCTCAGGCTTTTCCGTACTTAGTACCTAGCTTCAACATCACTTTTTCATCTTTTTTAATTCATACTTTTTGGTCGTTCGCACTTTGCCTCTCTAGCCCCTCGTCTTCTAGTTGTTAGATATACGCAAACTCAGGTCCTCTTTCTACTTTAATTGATTTGTCTAAGTTTAATAAAACAAATAACCTCCGTTTCCATTAGGAGCCCTTGACCCTCGTGCATACTGACATGACGCAGGGTGCGTACTTGGTTGCGAATCGCTTAACATGTATTTTTCCCAACCTTATAGTCCATATAGATAAATATCGGCTGCTTATCGGAGACGCGCGTGTAAGACTCGAGTTACGTGCTCACAGCTCTAACATCTTCATTTTTGCTGGTGGCATTTTTCGATACGTCTATGCGGAGATAATGCAACTTCAAATTCCAGTCAGACCGACTTGGGTTTTGTTTTAAACTTCCTAGCTGAAGCTATTTTCGCCGACTGAATCCCTATAGCCAGTCAGATGTGCACCGTCAGACTGGCTGGCTCATTCAAAACTTCGAAGGCGTACGAGCACAACAAGTTCCTATTTGTAATTGCTGCCTAAGCCCATAGAAGCAGTGGCGCTGACTCGATGAAGAATAACTTCTGCCGTCAACTGAGCAATCTCCATCACATCGCGATCAATTGTCGATGTAGAGGCATCGATCAAAACTGCCACTAAGTTCAGAGTGTGAGCGTATACTCGGATCACGCTCGTTCACGCACGTTCTGATCTGCGGAGGGAAACCTGCGACCACGCCATCAACGGACAAAGCCAACTGTTCGGAATAGGTATTAAGGTACGCATGCTTGCGGCTTGAGCAAAGGTTTACTGGACACATATTCATCAAAAGCTATTGGCAGCAGGTATGTCTTCACGTGACATCTTAGGTTGCCAACCTAGAAAATGGATCATTACACAGTCCTCATAAATTCTGGGTGCTCATAGACAGATGTATAATGAGAGCGTGTACAATGAGATTCACAGCTACCTGATGATTCCACTGTGCGCTACCTTGCGAAGAGACCACAGCCGAATGGCGTCATTGTGCATCTACAATGAAGACAGCCGCTGTCCTTGATAATTATCAAGTGGTAATCAGTCTGATTTGCGAAACAGATAGTGGGATATGTGCTGTTAACCAAACTATGTTCCAGGAGAATTGACAGTCTGCTCGCTGCCCGCCAAAGCGCTCAGATTACTGAGTTGCATGTTCCAAATATACTATAATGTGCACGGAGTGCCAGCTTCTCCGTTGGCTAGTAATCGCATCCTCCGCGGATTGTCTGCTTTCGTTTCGCTCTATTGCACAAAACTCGGAAGTGTGATCGGAATGTTGGATTTTGATGTTGAATTTAGAACAAATAGTATTGCTTCAAACCACTTGAATTTTTGAGGACTTGTTCTTGCAGTTATTTTACAAAATCTCTTAGTGAAACTGTAAGAACAGGAAAAGGTCCCAGCGGCCTGAAGCAGCACCGTTATTGAATGGAGTGCCAATTTGAAGTACTCGTTGTCCGATTGGATTTCGAAGTGCAATCTCAATTTGGACCGTGATTTGCCCCGGGGTGAACCTGAGCTAATTCGATCACTATGACTGTAGCTAAAATATACGGAGGTTCGAGCCCTGCTACCTCTACCTGATAAGTTCAAACAAGGTCGAAACGCCTAGTGGTGTGAAGCTTTTATGGGTGGGCAACGCTTAGCTTCTCTACGATTCAGCTACGGTCCTAGCGATCGAACTGTCCAAGGTTCACTTCAGTGGAAGTCACAGTCCACATTGAGATTGGGCGTTGCAATCCAATCACACAACGAATAATGCGAAATAACTCTATACTCAGTCACTGACAGTTATGCCAAGTTTCATGTGTCGTGACCCTGTGGATAAAGAGAAATAAGTCCCAAGTAACCCTCCAGCAGAACCAGATTTAGCTTCGTAGCCTGCTATCCATAGCTAGTGAGAGCAAACAAAGTCGAAGTACGCGGTAGGGTGCAGTGTTTTCGGGGGGTATCACAATTTCCATAGAGCTCCGTTAGTACTACAGTCAATAATGGATGTCCACTTGTGATATGTGGCAAGCATAAAGGAGTACGTCTCCTCTCCATCGCCTCTAACTTGCTTGTTTCTCTCCTACTTCACAGGTTGTCTGTCGTCCGTACAAGCAGGTCAAGTTTCGTCGAAATCGTGGCAGTGACGACCATACCTTTAGTTTATATCAGTTGTTGGAGCACTGCTCCTTATATTGGCGACACCTTAGATATGTGTTCTTTGACGCCAAATATGTCTTTCATTCGGTGGAGTAATGCGCTCTTACGGATTATTGGATGGATAAGTGTATGCCCGAGAAGTAAGTTAATGTTATCAGAGCTCTTAATATGTGTAGTTCGGACAGTGTATATCATTGTCAAGGACGAGATTTTTACACACATTGACAGAACAATTGTCTGAAACATTCCTTCGTTTATTTATTTTGTATACGAGGTTCCATACCATTTCTTTGTCAAATGTGGTGAGAATTGCAGCAGATCATCTGTAGGAATTGACAGGGTCAATGGTACACGCAATCCAGAAGATGAACGCCGGGATTTCATTCAAAAACCCGTGGAACAAGACAGTAAAAGGATGTCTCAAGTGCTATTTATGTGCCGTGTTAACTGTATTAAAACTGTTAACGTTTCAAAGTTTAAGTGGTTAAAATGGGTTCCAAGATATTCAGCTAAATTCCAATGGGCCAACGATAGATGATCACGCAGATTTCATAGAGACATGGAATAAGAAGGGCCTGAACGAGATGTTACCAGGTCAACACTGGAGAATAGTGGAGTAGTCAGGCTCTTGCAATCTCTTTGATATGCAATATGTTTCCAAGATACGAAGAAGTCAGTGTGCAGAGTACCCTATCAGAGACTCACCTGTCTTTTCGAACCACCTTTGCACATACCAGCACGTCCGTGAAAAGTAAAAGGTAGCGCAGTTTTCTCTCATCAGTGTTCCAGTTTAGTAGCTCCACAACCAAAGAGTGTAGTAGCAATTTTCGCACTGTGCCGAATGAAAGTTCCTATTGGTATTTTATTAAAATTCAAGAGCAGATTTAACGGAATAGTATGTGATACAGCCTGATAACTTGAAAGAATCTTCATTCGAGAATCATAGCGCTATTAAGTCTGCTGAACTTCCATATAGGTTACGAAGCTACCTCCTGCAAGTTGAATATGAAGGATTACAAAATGTGTTCAATTACGTCATGATTCCATCTAAGAGCACCTTGATATTTACGAGAAGGCCACGCTTAGTCTGCGCAGGATAATCTAACGCATCCACGAATCGCTTTCTCATATCTCTGAAGACAATTTGTCGTACCGTAGGTTTTATCAATTCACACCTCAGATTGTTATAGAGCGGTCAAGGAGTTCCTATTCATAATAATTGGAAATCACGTATGATACACTAAACTAAGGAACGGATCGATAATAAATGTACCATGTAAATATACCATTTGGTAAACTCATTATAACCGGTTTGGATAGCGCACACCCATTGTTACTTTGATATAGGTCGCTATTGAATAGTTAATGTCGCCCTACGCTGTGTCAGCTTTCTGTACTTCTCAGTCCTTGTTCGTATGAAAAAACTTATCAGGCTTGGTACTGTACCGCGCATGCTATCGCAATATGTGTTAATTTAACCAAAGGCACTTTATTACGTCAGCTGTCGAGAAGTTGATTTAGATAAGTGCAAAAGGGCACACTGGTTAGGGAGCACATGACATTCATCTTAGGGATTTGAACTTCCATAACACTGCCGACGGTGAGGTAACTATTAAATTCATTGGACCTGCTTGGTAGATATTTCTTGAGTATAGTTCAAAAGGAATAAACGCATTTTTAACGTTTGCGTTAAAATACGTAAAGAAGAGTTGTTCAAGGCGGGTGATATACAAAAATGGTATTTAACGTCCTCTGAAAATGACGGGAATCCGTACGTTTGCAGACTATGTGCCACCACGCAGCTGGAATAAGTTCGCCTCGAAAATCATTATCGAAGTACTGTCCTGAGGTCCTTTCGCAGTAAAATCGCTAAAATAAGCCGTCCAAGAAGCTTTCCCCTTCACTAACTCACTTTGCCGTATGCAGGAAGCACAGAGTGGCATTCAATGGTCTCCTTCATAAGAGTCTCATACAATGCCTCAAATCCTTGATGGTCAGGGTTGCGAGTGGTGGTGGCCTGACTGAGTGACTGAAATGAGAGGGGAGTGAATGCGCGGATGAATTAACAACAGTTCCTAATTCGGTAGATGCTGTTAGACAGCAAATCTCTTCCATGAAGCGTCAGTGACACGCTAAGGTCAATTTTCCAATTCTAAATATATTAGAGTATTAAAGTCAAATGTGAACCCCACGGTATCTTGATCAATGTTCACATAGATACACCTCATCTTTTTATGATAAACATCTGCTCTGAAAGTGGAGGTAAGTACAACATGTCCGTCAGGTTTACTCAGAATGCCCTTTCGTATTCGTACTATAATAGTTGGTGACGGAATCCGTGGTTTATATACGCGGGATTGTTTGAGGCAAGGGAACATTCCAAGAGAACAGAGCTTCTCTCTGATCATCTATCAGGGGGTGCAGACAAGTAAGTGAACTGGTGACCATCCCAAGTGGTACAATTAAGGAGATCAGTAGCCTATTGATATTAATCAACCACACTAAAATACACACGGTTTTCACCTAGTTAATGCTGGTGCCAGATACTTTAACAAGAACATGGTATAGGTAAACAAAACGAAATATCTTTTCAACCTCCAGAGAACCAAACGCGCTCATTTGCCGTCCTGATGCTCCAAGCTTAACTATCCAAGTCCGATCATCACTTAGTGTGTCCGTTTGATGCTATGTGCGTCAATGAAACGCGTTCATCACTCCAATGCAACCGACGGGCTCATCATCATCATTATCAACAGCAGTACATCAGCCATTTGAACTGATGCTTCGCTGCCATACAACCATGAGGACTTATGAAATAAAGAATAAGAAGAGGAAGAGAAGGGGGATTTACCTGAAAACCTTAGTGCCCTAAGCAAACATTCAGGGTCAAGGTGCCTACATCGTGTGTAGACAATATTCCGTCACAAACAGCTGGCTATCGTGCAAAGATAACGCGGCATCGGCGAGACAGCTTCCTTGCGGCTTTCACTGCCACGCGTCATAATCAGCCATTACCCCGCAGATAACTCGGCACCAGCACACATTCAACAGGTAATCCGATTAGAAGATGGCAACAGACGCGCCACTGGTGTCTACTGCAAGCCATGTCCTGTAAAGCCTTGGACCATGCACAAGGCAAGTCACTTGGGCTCCAGCCCGGAAGGAAAGGGGGAACAAAGCACCCAGTCTGGTCGTCAGTGACTTCATTTCCCGCTACCAAGTAAACTTCTGTCCACCTTGAGCCTTGCGCCACCCTACACCTGGCAGACTAAACAAGACCCTCATAAGTAAGCGGTGACCAGGCATACGTAGAACGTGCCCGAGCCAACGCAACTTATTCAGTGCTATCCGTTGTTCTAGGGAGCTAGCATGATTATTACCACCTAGTACTCGCTTACGCATATCATCTTTGCGGACATGCTGGTGCCATCCGACACCAGCAATGCTTTGCAGACAACGATGATCAAAGACTTGAAGGCGCCTCAGACCTTCGGACCGAAGGGGTAAAGTCTCACTCCCTTAGAGCAGAACGGCCCTCACTGTGGCCTTGTATACACGGCCTTTCAAAAGGAGGGCAACTCCCTTCTGTCGCCAAAGATGCCTTAGGTTCAAGAAGGTAGATCTGGCTTTCGCAGTGCGTGAGCTGACGTCATTTTCTATGCGCCCATCATAGCTGATGCAGCTGCCAAGATAAGTGAAATGATCAACCATGACGATTTCTTCGTTAGCAAGCGTCAAGGGGTCATCAAGTGGCTGGTGGTCCTGCAGCAACACTTTTCACTTTGAAGGTGCGAAGTGCATACCAAATAATGGGGCAACTCTGGACAGGCTACTCGGGGTTGATTGTGCCGACTCAGCATCGTCGAAAAGCAAGACGATATCATCCGCATAACCTAGATCAACTAACCTTTCACCAGGCAGCACTTCAATGCCTACATCATGAGATTCCGCAAGTGAACACTCCATGATAGAATCCACGACGAAATTGAACACAAATGAAGAAATCGGACAACCCAGACGAGCGCCACTTGTGGTCTGAAAACTATCCGATAGGACACGCTGCCTGTAGTGTTCGAGTATAGAGCCCGAAGGGTGTTCAAATATTTCGTGGGAACACCTTTCCGCGCAAGTATTTCGAACAGAATCGATCGATCGACTGAATCGAACGCACTCTTGAAATCGAGGAACACAGCTATTGTCGGTCTGCGGTATGCGTGGCGCTGTTCTATCACCTGCTGCAGTGAACATATGGTCTATACAGCCACGTCCTGGGCGGAAACCAGCCTGCTCTTCCCTAATCCGAGATTCCCGTTCCGCAGTGAGGCAACGAACGATAATCGAGGCCAGTAATTTTGTCACAACTGGCGTTAGGCTAATACCCCTGTGGTTAGCAGTCTGTGCGACTGCCCTTCTTGTATATTGCCACTATAATTGATTAGTTCCAGTAAACTGGGACGCTGTGCCTTCCAGATATGTTCGAATACGGAGATCAGTGCTTTGTAGAGGACCTCACCTCCATCCTTAACCAGTGCAAGTGGGATGGAATCCGGGCCTGCGGCACGAAAACGATTGAGGGCTGTGATCGCGTTTCGGACCTCGGCCTCTGACGGAGGCTCTAAACTAACCGTCCATGGCTCGTCCTGCATCACTTGAGTAGAAAGTGGTTCGGGAGCAGGGGGCCAGGTGGACTGATCTTGAAGTGTTCCGCCCAACGAGCCATACGACGCTCCTTATTTTGTATTAGTGCACCCGCGTTGTCTCCGAGTGTCTCACTGACGCCTGGTTTTCTGGGACCAGTGGTGCGAATTGGCTGGAAGAGCTTGCGATAATTGCTTACTGCTCCTGCCTCCTCCATTTTTTGAGCCTTACTGGTCCACCAGGCTTCCTTGTCAGCACGTAGGCTCCGCTTTAGTTCACATTGTGTCCAGAACCAGCCGGGAGGTGTATTTTAGATTACAACAGCTTCACCGACCTCTCGGATATCCAGTGACTGGTGCGGTGACGATTGATAGTGCCACAAGCAGATGCTCCTGCATCGTGCATGGCGGCAGAGATCCTATTCCACTGAAGCACAGTGCCATTAGGACAAGACAGCGGAAGTTCGGTATGCAGTGCTTCTTGTTAGGCTAGCCTGACCGATGACTGAGACAATTTCTCCGTTGCCAATCGTTAGGATGCTTGGTGCACCACCCGGTAAAGTTCATGGAGAAACGACAGCGTACCAAGGCATGATCTGAGTCGACACAGGTACTCCAGTATGAGCGACAATCCAGGATGGAACCACGCCACCTGTAACTTATGGCTACGTGATCAACTTGGGTCCATCGCTGATCAGCTGCAGGAGGACGCCAAGTGGCCCTTCGGCACCCACTGTGTCTAAAAGCAGTGCTACTAACAAACAACTGGTGCTCCGCACACTGTCGCAGCAGACACTCATCGTTGTCAGTCCGTTCGGAGTTAAGCCCACAATTACCACCCAGCTGAGCTTCTGAAGAGCTCAGAGGCCCTACTTGTGCGTTTATATCCCCTGCAAGTACTATCATATCGGAACTAGTAACACTGCGTAGTAGCGCGTTCAGTTCGTCAAAGAATATGTCTTTGGCAGCATCAGAACTGAAATCGGTGGAAGCATAAGCGGAAATCACAAACAAACAGCTTTTTGTACTACTTCATGAATCAACCTTAGCTGATGTCGTCAAACGGGCTGCACATAAACGGCTGTTCACCTGAATCCAATCAACCAACAATGGCACAGTGTTGGAGCTTAGAATGATACCTACACCAGCTTGACCCGTAAGTGCTGCATCGGTGTCTCCGGATGCGTGCAACCAATAACGAGAGGACAAGCCGGGTGTAGCTAATTCAAAAACCCCGTTAGGGTCATTGATCCTAGTTTCGGACACACAATACACATCAATACTCAGTGTGTCCTTGGTGCGTGCAAGTGCAGCCTATTGACCTATTTGTCTTAGAGTGCGAACGTTGAATGTCGCCATGGAAACGGGACAGCGTGGTCTTATAAGGGACTTTTGCCGATAGGCGTCCAATAGTTGCGGTGGGTGGTGGCTGCAGATTGTTCTACTCCAGTGGCATTTCGTTTACTCTCAACTAAGCTGGGAATTATAGAAGGAAGGTTAGTAATGGGGATCGGGATGGGAATAAGAGAACAAGGTGGAAAAGAAAGAAGGGAGGCGCCAGCAGTAGCATGTTTTCGTCTATCCGCCCTGCTGTATGCAGCAGATAAAGCGACTCTTGAGAATCTACGCAACGGCCGATGCAGGATGAAATTTATGTTTGAAGAAAATGTCATGGTTGTATGTGGGCTGAGATACCGCCAGGGCGCACAGATCTAGACAGGAGGACGATTACGATCCTCATCCAAAACCTTTGGCTCAAAATCCTGTCCGCAAGACAGCGGCGAGATGGCAATGATTTCGTTTTACAGAAACGGACGCCATCCTATTTCAAACTCCTAACCTGGAGGACAAGGAGACTGAGTTTGTCTGACCTCTCACCATTGACCAACCTAGTAGGAGTAGCTCTCAAGTTGCCCGGAGGCATCACCCAGTGTAGCTCAATGGGTCAATGAGGTAGGTAAACCGTCGCATAACGTTAAGGTCCAGTTTCATTGCGACGGAACCGAGGTGCTAGTTGGAATTCATTCCTTTCTATGAGATGTGTTTTCTGACTTCTTATAGAGCGGTAAATATGAGACTATTCAGTAGTCCTCGTATCTAGCCAAGCGAGCTAATGTCGTTAGAGTCGTAAACGGATCAGTGGTAGCGATTTGGCCATCACTTGTGATTGAAATACTTGGATGAAGCTGTTACACTGCAACTGGTATGCAATAATATTATGAAGACCTTGGTAAGCTCCGACTACTAAGCATCCATCTAAACCGACGCAGCTGTACGAATAACCACAATGACAACGGAGCACTTGACTTCCTCTACTTCGCAACAAGACATGCAAAGGAGAAACTTGTTTCATGCTTCTTCTCAAATCTGAAAGAAAGCAAGTTGGCCTTAT